TCGATGAACTGTGAAAATTGTGATCATCGCCTTATTTAAAAATCAATTTTTTTTCTTTGGGTAACCTTAAACCTGAACTGTTCTACTTGAAACCCATTTGACTTGGGTCGTTTGGGTTTGGGTCGTTTGGGTTTGGGTAAAAATTGACTCACTTACCCAAATACCCAAACCCAAACGACCCAAGTCAAATGGGTTTCAAGTAGGTCGGTTGGGTTTAAGGTTTGACAAACAAGTCAGGTTACTTGTGCATGGCTCTAATTTTTATTTAAAAGTCAAGGCATAACAGTTATTCTGTGATTTTTATTTTGGCATAACAGTTATTCAATGATTTTTATCAGGGACCGTAAATAATCATTACTTGAGATTTTTATTTTAAAAAGCCTACTGAGGTTTTTACATATTTTAATCAACAATTTAACTGGTTTTTATGCACTTTACAGACATAAACAAATAACAGTTAATTTGCTTTTCATATTGGTTGAAATGCATATACTTTGTGGACAAAAGTAAAAAGAACGTTATTTTTGACGTTTGAAACAAAATATCACAGTAGTCTTTTTAAAATAAAAATCTCAAATAATGATTATTTATGGTCCCTGATTTTTATTTTAAAAATCAAAAATAAAAATCAAAACCAAATATCTTTTAAACCACGGAGAGTACAAAAAAACGGAAAACGCACTTTTATTTTTCGGATTAATACCTTTCTTATGATATATCACACGTCCATTAGGATTCTAAAATTAATATTATTTATAGCCATATATTATATATATGGAAACTTTTCTTGCAGATAATATTAAAGTCAAAAATCCATTAAATGATATTAAATATTATTAAAAAACATAGTGAGTTCTTCAATACAAACTGGAACAACATTTAACAAAGTAGCACTACTTTTGGATATCCTTAGTTAGTCCAAATAATCTAAAGACGCTTTTCCTCTTCTTCTTAAAAATTGAAGAACTGATTTAAGTATCCAAGCAAGTATAAGTACACCCAGAAAAAAATCCGTTCGAAACGTTAGAAAATCAAGCCCAAACGGGGTCAAAAAGTGCGTAAGCCCGTTTGTTGTCAGTTCATGAACGCTTTTTTTCGTTCTTTTTTTTCTGGGTGTATAAGTATACATTTAAATCTGTATTAAAAACCATTCCAAAAATAAATTAAAAATTTTTGGGCTCTCAAGAAAAAAATAGCACAAATCGACATTAAAAACAAGAGAGAACGCTATAGTCGGGTGCCCCGACTATCAGATACCCGTTACTCAGCTAAAGGGAGTGCGAAGGAGATGGAGAAAAACTTTGATCCGCCGTAACTTTTTAACGAATGGTCCGATTTAAAAAATTTCTTCTACATTTCGATAGGTATTGATAAACACAAAAAAACTGCATTTTTACTTTTCCAAAATATTGAAATTTTTAAAATCGTATACAAGCGATTGTGGGCGTTAGAGGGGGCGTGGCACCCTTTTGAAACAAACTTGCGCTGCGTAGGAACTCCTATAATCTGCATGCAAAATGTCAATCTTCTAGCTTTTATAGTTTCCGAGATCTCAGCGTTCATACAGACAGACAGACGGACAGACAGACGGACAGACGGACATGGCTAGATCGACTCGGCTAGTGATCCTGATCAAGAATATATATACTTTATGGGGTCGGAAACGCTTCCTTCTAGCTGTTACATACTTTTGCACGAATCTAATATACCCTTTTACTCTACGAGTAACGGGTATAATTAAACACTAGTGAGTGCCAGTGTGTTTAAATGCTAAAAATGTGTTATTTATAACCAACTGTAACCTAGAGTTCGCAAAAATCCTTCTATTTATGTTAACAGGTCGACCAATACACTAATATAAACTTTTAAATATTTTAATATTTATTTATTATTAATTAAAACCTATAACAATTTTGAGTAATTATAAATGAAGTATAAGATGTTTTTTAGGTGAACAATTTATTTTATTATTTAGATTCAAAAAAAGCATATTCTTGATGGATTTTTTGTTTATTATTATTATTGGGTTTTTTTATTTTTCAAGTAATTTACAGGTAATAATCAAAACTAACGGATTAATATTTGTGGACGGATAAGAACCCGAAGGCATGGTTTCTTATCCGCTTAAATATGATTTAAATGCAATAATACTTTAATAAAAAAAAATTTGAAACTGAAAATAGCTACGTGTTTCAAATTTGGTCCGATATTTTGTATGGAAGCTATAGGACATAGTCGGGGATATGTCCAATTTTTGTTGCTATAATTAAAATATTTTTATAGAATTTTGGGAAAAATTTCGTAACGATATAACAACTAGAAGTATTTTTGGCCGCGGCTCCCATACAAGCGAAACCACTGTGCACTGTGATATGTCGGAGCGAGCCGGATCGGACCACTATATCTTAAGGCTCCCATAGGAATATTCAAACAAATATAAGAAAATTCATTGTAACTTTGTAGGAAGTAGGTGTTTTGATTCTTGACTACTTATGTAGTTTCTTGTTTTTTTGTTGTTTTAAACATTTTCATAGACGGAACACGGAACTGCAATTAAATAAAATAATACAACACCATTTCCTACAAGCTAATGTGCTTACATGCCGCAATGCTTTTGTAACTATTAGGGTGTTCAATTGCGTTGCAAACTTTGTAAAGTGTAAAAGTATATATCAATTCCAACAACAATTTCTATACAAAATAGTTTTAAAGGCCTACATTTGAAAATTTTGTTGTATAGAAATTGTTTTTGGAACTGCCTTACACTTTTACACTTTACAACGTTTGCAACGCAATTGAACACCCTATATATATATTTCAATAAATGTGTTGAAAGAATAAACATGAAAAATGAGCACAAACAAGAAAGGAAGCTACCTTCGGCCAGCCGAAGCTTATATACCCTTGCAGATAAAAGAATGCTCAATGAATTTTCTTATATTTGTCTGAATATTCCTATGGGAGCCTTAAGATATAGTGGTCCGATCCGGCTCGCTCCGACATATGTACTACCTGCAATTGAAAGAAGACTTTCGGGAAAGTTTTTTCGCGATAGCTTTAAAACTGAGAGACTAGTTCGCATAGAAACGGACAGACGGACAGACAGACAGACGGACAGACGGACATGGCTTGATAGACTCGGCTATTGGTGCTGATCAAGAATATATATACTTTATGTGGTCGGAAACGTCTCCTTCACTGCGTTGCAAACATCTGACTGAAATTATAATACCCTCTACAAGGGTATAAAAACATATTTTCCTGTTAACCATTTTGCAATTGTGAAAGGGTCTTCTAGGTATCTTCTACAAGTGTCTTCTGAGTAACTTCCAGAAGTGACTTCGGCAACACTTCTACAAGTGACTTTCACGATATCGCATTCGGATCGCCGAAGTCACCCCCGTCGGGAAGAAATGTTCCACTACGGCGGCACTTCTAGAAGTGTCGCCTAAGTCACTTCTGGAAGTGACTTCCGCGATATCGCATTCGAATCGCCGAAGTCACCCCCGTCGGAAAGAACTGTTCCACTACGGAGGCACTTCTAGAAGGGTCGCCGAAGTCACTTCTGGAATCTAGGTCTTGTCAAGCAAAAAACTGCTCAGCCCGTGCACCTCCGAAGCTCCAGCTAATAATTTTACTCATGTTGAAGAGTTAGACAGTAATGATCTTAGAGCTCTTTTAGATACACAGAATGGGCTTTTAAAAAAAGTAATCCGCATGTTCCCTTCCTTCACTGAAAAAGGACTAGATAAAACCCATCTTCTATCCCATAAAATCGATGTTGGCAATGCCACACTGAGTCGAGTCTCGAGTCTCTGAAAGACGCATACTGACAAATACGATTGTGCCCTGTGCCCGCGACAAGACGGCCTTTACCGTGTGTATGATTTCGACTAAGCAGAAATTCGTTCGTTGCTGATAGCTACTTTGACCTAAATAAATAGGTAGCTGATATCTTGGTCTGCGCACATCTGCATGTGATAAAGGGGCATAAACCATATGTATCCAGCCGACGGACGTGTCTTCACACCATCTGTCATAACCCTTGAGAAATTTTAACCCGACCATTTGGTAAATGGAATATGCGCTTGGAGTATTCGTAGATATATTCGGAGCATTCAACAATGTCAAGACGGATGCTATAATGGATCGCCTAGAAGCAACCAACACGCACCCCGCAATAGGCCTCTGGATAAGAAACCTGCTTAGCTGCAGGCGGGTACATTCAGAGTGGGGCACCGCTTCCATGGTAAAGGGGGCACACAGAGGCACACCACAAGGTGGGGTCCTCTCGCCCCTCCTAGGGAATTTGGTGGTCGACGATCTAATCATGAGATTCGAGAGGAGAGCCCCAAAAATAACAGCCTATACGGACGACATAGGCATAATTATTACGGAAGTTTGTCCATCGACCCTCAGCTCTATAATGGAATCAACACTCAGGGAGATATGTGAGTGGGCGGAACAGGTGCACTCATAGAAATTTTCCGGTAAAATCGCCCTAAAAACAAGGAAAATCGCCCTAAAACGGGGGTCAATGGCGACTAGGCAACAAAATTAGGGCAAATTGCCCTAAAAATACGGGTGAATTTGTCATACATTTAGGGCGATTTTTCTACTTTCAAAGGTAATTGCCCTAAAAATAAGAAATGAGACCCTTAAACTAAAGGCAGTTTCCTTTAAATCCAGGGCGATTTTTTTGGACTTATAGGCTAATTGCCCTGGAAATCGGAAAAAATACCTTTAAACTAAAGGCAGTTTTTTATAAATCCAGGGTGTTTTTCTGGATTTTAAGGCGAATTGCCGTAGAAATAAGGAAAAATATCCTAAAACTAAAGGCAGATTTTCATAAATCTAGGGCATTTTCTCTGGATTTATAGGCGAATTGCCCTAAAGCATGCAAAATGCTCCCCAAAATTTCACGGCCATTTTTCATAAAGAAAAATACAATTTCAATATTTTTTGTTTTTATATTTTTGTTTGTTCTTATTTACATTAACTACAAATATATTTACACAATTTATAGTTATACAAATTTACATATTCTCCCTTTCTTATTGCTAAATTGATTATATCGGGTTTAAAAATAATAAATAATAAATAAGTTTAAAAGAAACGGCTTCCCGAGTCCGCAATGGTGTGCTTCGCGTTCTTGCTCCCGGCGTCCTTTTTTGTTCTTGCTGTCGGCACCAACACTCAATGAATTGCAAGCCAAATTAGAGTTGATTGTATCTCTATAAAATGAAAACAGTCTAATTATTATATGATAATAGAAAAAAAGAGAAGCACCTACCTTCAGAGTGGCTTTCCAAAGATTTAAGCAGGTTTATTTCCTGTTGCTTCCTTACTCCTTTTAATAAGTCCGAAAAGTGGTTTGCGAGAGCTGGATCTGAAAAACGTTCTCAATCTAAAAAAAAAAGGAAAAATTGTTAGAAATTAATATAAAAATGCACAACCCACACACAATTTTCATTTAGCCGGCGATTGCGTTTGCTGCTACTCCTAGAAAAAAAAGAAGCAGCAAACGCCAATTTCGAGCACTGGCGAAATGTCGCAATAAAAATTTGGGGGTTGTTTTGGTATATGCACTTGTGAATGCGGTTGGTCCGGTGCATACCCTGTAGTTCTCAAGGGGGCCGGTGGCACTTTCGGGGTAGAAAAGGGATCGACCACCCAGTGGTCCCTTAAGGGTCAATAGGTGGCGTGTGTATTTTTTACAAGAGCAAAAGAGTTATCGGAGAGTGAACACTTCTATGTGAACACTTCTATATGAGTTAAAAAAATTGTAAAATGAAATTGAAACTTAATAATGAGATAAAATAAAATAATAAATGATAGAATTTTATTTCTTTTTATATTATTTATATTTAATAATGAGCAATTTAGCTGCAGCAATATTTTTAACAATAGCGGTAGTTCAGTAGCAAAACGTTTTCTTTCCTTCCATAACAAGCGGATTTTATTGGTGCTTAGATATATAAAATAAATATATAAGTACCTAATTTTATATACATAGAACTAAACAAAAATAATATTAGCGAATGTTTTTATTGCCACCATATCGGTAGTCGCAATATTAATCGTAACGGATTGCCATAACTACCCAACCCCGCTACCATCACTAACCCAACGTTTGCGCCAAATTTTGTAAACATTGTATTTAATTTGTCTTATTGTACATTTAAAGTGTTATATTTTGTTGTGATCTGAGGTGTCGTCAACAGGTGAGTAACACCACGAGTTGTGCAAGTGAAATACCTAATAATGTGTGATATTTAGCCATGAACAGCAACAGGCACATTCGTCGATTTGTTAAAGAGGAGAAGGAGAAATAGTGGTGCAAAGGACTCCTACGTAAGTCTTTTTTCTTTGATATAAATATTTTAGTGAAATTTTCTTCCTTTTTAGATTAAAGCCATGAGATCGTTGTTGCTGCCAGAAGGGGGTTTAAAAAACTTGCGGAGGGTTCTCACGGATGAGTTGTGGGATTTAATGTTAAAGGCCTTTCTGGAAAAAAAAGCCGTAAACTCCTTTACACATTTCTATGGTGCACTTCACGGTAGGTTATTTTTATAACTGTATTTTTTATAATACACTTAGTTTCTTGATTCAATTTCAATCTATTTACTTAGAATGCCATCTGTCTTTAATCCTATTTCTTTCTGTCTTTTTCTGCTTTTCACTTTTAAAACATGGTTTGATGTAAACAGGCTTGTATAACAAAATCTAAAAATATATATTTAAACCCATGCAGAGGGAATTATAATTTAGTCCAGAAGTTTGTTACGCAGTAAAGGAGACCTTTTCAAACCTATAAAGTAAATCCATTTAACCATGTCCGTCTGTCTGTCGGTTCAAGTTTCAAAAGCGTGAAATAAGTCTACATTTAACTGTTGGTTATTCTTATTTTATATTTATACTTTTCTAGTCACAATTTTATTCCTGAAAGCTGCAAGGGTATTAAAACTTTGGCTTGCCGAAGTTAGTTTCTGTTCTCATTTTATTTTAAAACACTAAAATCTTATTTCTTTTTAGATATTGTTTCAGAATCTGGTAATGCAGAAATATTGATTCCCAAGGCAATTCAATTGCAAAAGAAACGATTTTTTAAAAATAAATCCAAATCAAATAATAACAACAATGAGGAACTCAACAAAAACGTGTCAGCAGAGGAATTTGTTCAATAAATATAAATTAAAAAAATAGAAAAATTGTCTACTTATAATACAATAAATTAATTTAACAAAAAGTATTTTTTCTTGGGAAGTTTCATAGCATTCAGCTTTTTTGGTATTGAAAACACCAACCCCATTTCATACCCCTTTTCGCCACAAAAGGGACCGATAGGTGGTCCGATAGATGATCCGATAGGTGGCCCCTTTTGTGGCGAAAAGGGGTATAATATGGGACCACTTGCACAACTCGTGGTGTTACTCACCTGTTGACGACACCTCAGATCACAACAAAATATAGAGTCAAAATCTGCCAAGTGGGCCACCCCTGTTCCGAAGGTCCGATTTTCATCGAACTTTTTTACTTTTCCGGTTCACAACGAAAATATAAGAACTTCATTTGAACGGTTTTGCGAAATTTTGAGTTTTACCGGAGTTATAGGGGTCAAAACATGGCATTTTTGACACTTTTTCGAAAAAGTTGCTCTCAGTCATTTTTTCATAACTTCCGAACGGTTAGAGATATCTTTATGATGTTTTCACTAATCGCTCAAGAATTATTATGGCTTTCCATAAAAAAATGTAAAAAAAAATTAAAAATTTTTTTTCTTAAAAATAAATCAACATTTTTTTTTAGTTTTTATTTTTTTCAGTGTTCTTCACCAGCTATAGAGTTTAAAACCATTTGAAAATGAAGTTTGATTCATTACGAAAAAGATCAAAAAAAAAAAGTGGCCCGGCCAAAGGTTTTTCGCAATATCGATTTGAAGAAGGGCGCACAGCGGTTTCCCATACAAAAACGGCTTGCTCGTGAAAACTGGCTGGTCAACACATGCCGTAGCGAGCGTAGCGTCAGCTGTCAATGGGGGACTTTTTGCCGTTTTGTATGGGAAACCGCTGTGCGCCCTTCTTCAAATCGATATTGCGAAAAACCTTTGGCCGGGCCACTCTTTTTTTTTTGATCTTTTTCGTAATGAATCAAACTTCATTTTCAAATGGTTTTAAACTCTATAGCTGGTGAAGAACACTGAAAAAATAAAAACTAAAAAAAATGTTGATTTATTTTTAAGAAAAAAATTTTTTTATTTTTTTACATTTTTTTATGGAAAGCCATAATAATTCTTGAGCGATTAGTGAAAACATCATAAAGATATCTCTAACCGTTCGGAAGTTATGAAAAAATGACTGAGAGCAACTTTTTCGAAAAAGTGTCAAAAATGCCATGTTTTGACCCCTATAACTCCGGTAAAACTCAAAATTTCGCAAAACCGTTCAAATGAAGTTCTTATATTTTCGTTGTGAACCGGAAAAGTAAAAAAGTTCGATGAAAATCGGACCTTCGGAACAGGGGTGGCCCACTTGGCAGATTTTGACTCATAACACTTTAAATGTACAATAAGACAAATTAAATACAATGTTTACAAAATTTGGCGCAAACGTTGGGTTAGTGATGGTTGCGGGGTTGGGTAGTTATGGCAATCCGTTACGATTAATATTGCGACTACCGATATCGTATAATCGATGGCAATAAAAACATTCGCTAATATTATTTTTGTTTAGTTCTATGTATATAAAATTAGGTACTTATATATTTATTTTATATATCTAAGCACCAATAAAATCCGCTTGTTATGGAAGGAAAGAAAACGTTTTACTACTGAACCACCGCTATTGTTAAAAATATTGCTGAAGCTAAATTGCTCATTATTAAATATAAATAATATAAAAAGAAATAAAATTCTATCATTTATTATTTTATTTTATCTCATTATTAAGTTTTTATTTTATTATTTTAACTTTTTTTAAATTTGTTTTTTATATAAGCAAAATAAAGTTGTATTCGTTATTAAAATCATTATAAACTTGTCAAAAATTTCATTTTACAATTTTTTTAACTCATATAGAAGTGTTCACATAGAAGTGTTCACTCTCCGATAACTCTTTTGCTCTTGTAAAAAATACACACGCCACCTATTGACCCTTAAGGGACCACTGGGTGGTCGATCCCTTTTCTACCCCGAAAGTGCCACCGGCCCCCTTGAGAACTACAGGGTAACTCAAGCATTATTTACATATACACATACATATATGTATACTCTTATTAATGATCTTACTTTGTTCTGCCACACTTCCAAAACTTCCGCTTCTGGACCGACTAGTTGAACAGGAATTTCTCGTCGTAGCTGCTTCCAGTCAATTTTTTTAAAGTTTCAGCTGCATTTTCCTTTGTTACAGATATGTAAATTCAATTAGTTATTAATATCCAAATTGCACAATTATATATGTATGTATGTACTCACCAGAAAACAGAGAAAGAATCGCCTCCCAAGTCCTTTAATAGCGTTTACATTTTTCACTTTTTTACAAACAAAAGGTTTCACAAACACGTCTTTCGCTGCCAAGCGCCCGAAAAATTATGACAAAGTCTAGACAATGCAACTCTTTCTACCCCCACCCTTGCCACTGCAATGGATGAAAAGTAGCAAAGAAGAAGAAAAAGGGTGGACTTCTCTAAAGTCAAATGCGCTCAGCATCAAAATTCATAGAAAAAGGTCCGCCCTAATATACACACACATTCACTTGTTTTGACTTGTCAACCACACACACATACACACATGTATTACATATGTATCCATTAATTGCGTCTTAAAATTTCGTTTGACTCTTCCTTGTTTTTAGGGCAATTTCAGAACATTTTTTTTGCTATTTTGTTATACGTTTTAGGGCGATTTCGCCCTAAAAAGAAGGAATTACTTTTGGAGTCGACTCATAAAAATTCGCCATAAAAAACAGGGCAAATTTGCCTTTTTGAAAAAACTAACCCTAAAAAATATTTTCCATGGCGATTTTTCGTATATTTAGGGCTAATAAGCGTATAATAAGAAAATGTTTCATAGTTTTAGGGCGACCTCGGTTTTAGGGCGACTTTTCTAGTATTTAGGTAAAAATTTCTATGAGTGTGGGACTCAGTATCAATGAGGACAAAACGGACCTCATTCTCGTTACAAAGAGATACAAGGTACCAAAAAGGACCCCCCGAAAATCATCGTAACCAGGCTGATCCCAAAAACACAGGTCAAGTACCTAGGCACAGTACTGTACTGCAAGCTGGCATGGAGACCCAATGTAGTGGAAATGGTGAAAAAGGCCACCATTGCGCTATATTCATCCAAGAAGATGCTTAGCAGCACATGGGGCTTGTCACCCTGCTGTAGATCCAGATCCGAGATGTAGATCTTGGTGGTGCGTCCGACTCTGCTGTATGGAGCCTTAGTGTGGTGGCAAGCCACTGAAAAGACGACGTACACCGAGCTTATGGAGAGAATTCAGCGGCAGGCATTGGTCTGCATAACGGGGGCGCTGAAGTCAACCCCAACTAAAGCTCTATCTCGGAGTCGACCCCATAGACATCCACGCACAACTGACTGCAGGAAAGGCAGCACAACGTTTAGTTGCATCAGGTAACATGACGGCGCAAAGCTTCGGGCTTAGTTCAATCGGCCGAAGCATGATCAACAAAACGGACCATATGACCCCCAGAACGTGCCCGGAGGTTAAAACAACCTCGTTCATGGGCATAGATGACTGGAAAACGGGGCGGGACCAGACTCAACACCTCAATATATACACGGACGGCTCCAAGATGGAAGGAGGAGTAGGAGCGGGCTTATACTGTACGGACCCTGAAATAAGGCTGTCCTTTAAGCTACCCAACGACTGCAGCATATTCCAGGCGGAAGTCTTCGCCATAAGGAAAGCTGCTGAAGTGGCTCAAAATATAAACCGACCCCACGATTTGGTCAACTTGTTTGTGGACAGCCAAGCGGCGATAAGATCCATGCAGTCGTCAACAGTCAGTTCCAAAGTCAGGGAGGCATTAGACAACCTTAGCATGACAAAGTCAGTGCGGATCTATTGGGTTCCCAGTCACCAGTGCATCGATGGCAACGAGACAGCTGACGCACAGTGGGGCGAAAAAGCCAAAAGTCTGCCTTAAATCAGCGGAGCCCTATAGCGAATATCTTTTGATGGGGCATTCTTAAAGGCAATTAAAGATGTAAAAAAAACATCATAAGGTACATTTTTTTGTAAAATTTTTTTGTTGTAAAAAATTTTTAAGAAAAAAAAATTGTTTTTTTAAGAAAAAAAAATTGTTTTTTTTAAGAAAAAAAAATTGTTTTTTTAAGAAAAAAAAATTGTTTTTTTAAGAAAAAAAATATAAATTAATTAGTTATAGGCTTCTAAGTTTCCCAAAATTTTTTTTTTTAATTTAACTTGATTTTTGAAAAAAAAAATTATTCAAATCGGTTAACTATAACTTATAGCTGCCATATAAACGCTTATTAAAAAGGGGAATGTCTCGGTTCTATTTCAATATTGGTTCATATAAATTGGGATTAAGGCATTATTTATCATTTTAGCTCTATGCTTACCTTTTTTTTTAATTGGTCAATGATATCTTATAGATGTCATAGAATCAATCAAGGAAATATATCTTATTTTCAAAAAAAACTGGTAGAAACCGGTATTTATTTCATATCTGTACTTTCAGTAAAATAACATAATTTAAAATTTTAAACCCAAATTTGTTTATTAATTTATCATTATCTTCATTAATACCTTCACATAAGTAAAATATCTTTATGATGTTAGGGCGCGCGGATAACCAGGGCTGACGATATTTCAAATTATGAACATTTCTTGCTAACTTAAACTGCGGTTTTCTCAGAAGAGGCACAAAAGGGCAGGCTAATTTTTTCAGAAAATGTAGTTAAATATCTAAACTTAAAAAAAAAAACAAGAGAGAACGCTATAGTCGGGTTGTTGTCCCGACTATCTAATACCCGTCACTCAGCTAAAGGGAGTGCGAACGCTGTGTCGGGTTGGTGTCCCGACTAATAATCGTTACTCAGCTAAAGGGAGTGCAAGGGAGATATATATATAATTTTTGATTGCGTATAACTTTTTAATGAATGGTCCGATTTGAAAAATGTCTTCTACATTTCGATAGGTATAAATATACACAACAAAATTGCATTTATACTTCTCGGAAATCTTTAAAGATGTGGGCGCAGGACCCATTTTAAAATCGTTAGTGGGCGATTGTGGGCGTTAGAGGGGGCGTGGCGCTCGGCTAAAATAAACTTGCGCTGCGTAGGAAGCCAAAGAATATGTGTGGGAAATCTCAACCTTCTAGCTTTTGTAGTTTCTGAGATCTCAGCGTTCATACAGACGGACAGACGGACAGACGGACAGACGGACAGACGGACAGACGGACAGACGGACAGACGGACAGACGGACATGGCTAGATCGACTCGGCTAGTGACCCTGATCAAGAATATATATACTTTATGGGGTCGGAAACGCTTCCTTCTAGCTGTTACATACTTTTGCACGAATCTAGTATACCCTTTTACTCTACGAGTAACGGGTATAAAAATTAAACAAGGATCTAGGGTGTAACACTACTTTACGTCCAGAAATAACCAAAAAATCCCAATTTTTTTGGACCCCTTTTGAAAAATTAAAAAAAATAGTAATTATGTATCTAAAATTTTTATTGTTTTTTTTTAATATTTTAAGAATTGAATGCTCCTAAAATTTTAATCGTTACATATACAACTTAGGCCCTTGGGCGCTTTCAGAAAAATTTCAAAGATGTGGAAAAATACCTTTTTTTCTTATTGGCTAAAATTATGTTTCGAAAAATCCACTTTATAAATCTGTAGTGGGAGAACCATTCATCACTCTTTCCTTTTGATTTGTATAGAGAATTCAATTGTTTTTAAAGTTGCATTTCAACATTTTGGAAAATCTTTAAAAAAAAAAAAACATTTTGGCAGGCTTTTTGTTCTAGGCGCCCCACAGTGTGACGTTCTTGCAAAGGAGGGCGTTGAGCTGGCGAACGACAGAACGGAGAACGTGCCTGTTTCCTTCCGAACGCTCCAAAGCGCCCTGGAGACACAGGCGGACACGCGAGCAAAAAGCAGGTGGAGGAATACCAAGACCTGCCGAATCTCAAGAACTATGTGCAAAGAACTATGGCTCTCTCAAGAGCAAGAAGAAGATACCTCGGTGCCCCAGTACTGGCATCACTAGGAGACGCCTCCAGCAGGGAACCAGGAGAACTACTTGCCTTCGCAAAAACACCTCGATCCTTATGGACATAAAAACCTCTTAACTTATCTCAAGGTTCATGCGCATCAATCGGACAACTAAGGACCATATTGGCCTATGCGTGGCCCCGTGAGGTCCGTCCGGGTTAACCTAACCTAACCTATTTGGTAGATGTAATTGCTTATTTAGGTTATTTTCTTGTAAACTGATAATAAACCATGTTGTCCATTTGTATATAAACTAGACCTAAGTAAATATCCTTGTAACCCCAAATCATGTATATAATCCCGGATTAATGCCCAATAAAAGTAGTACGAAAAGAAATCTTGACGTATTCACTTCTCCGCAGCCCAATTTGTTCTGTACTTATTGCGGCGACTTTTGCCACTGGTTCTGTACTTGTGGTCGCAAAAAAATCCTTTTCAGCAAACTCGATTTCGGTAGAAATCATACATTTGGTGACCCCCGACTTGGAGCCGCAACAATTGTTCAAATTGGGACTCCAATTTGAACCAGCATCATCGATCATAGTTTGATCAACCAAAGGTAATTTTGTTAAAAATTTGAACCGCATTTATCGGTCAAATATAATATTCATTTGATCCGACTTCACGACGCACAGTGGGGCGAAAAAGCCAAAAGTCTGCCTTAAATCAGCGGAGCCCTATATCAAATATCTTTTGATGGGGCATTGTTGAAGGCAATTAAATATGTAAAAAAACATCATAATGTGAATTTTTTTAGTAAAATTTTTTTGTTGTAGAAAATTTTTAAGAAAAAATAAATTGTTTTTTTAAGAAAAAAATATAAATAAATTACTTATAGGGTTTTAAGTTTCCCAATATTTTTTTTAATTTAACTTGATTTTTGAAAAAAAAAATTATTCCATATAAACGCTTATTACTAAGGGGAATGTCTCGGTTCTATTTCAATATTGGTTCATATAAATTGGGATTAAGTCATTATTTATCATTTTAGCTCTATGCTTACATTTTTTTTAATTGGTCAATGATATCTTATAGATGTCATAGAATCAATCAAGGAAATATAGCATATTTTCAAAAAAAAACTGGTAGAAACCGGAATTTACTTCATATATGTATTTTTAGTAAAATAACATAATTTAAAATTTTAAACCCAAATTTGTTTATTAATTTATCATTATCTTCATCAATACCTTCACATAAGTAAAATATCTTCATGATGTTAGGGCGCGCGAATG